GGGGGGGGGAGTAAAAAAGTAGGAAAATGGGAGAGACATATACAGAGGAAGGAAGAGGAAGAATGAGATCTGCCCCTCACTGTGCCATCCTTCAGAATCCCTTGCATTGCTTTGCCTCGAACCATGCCATGCTGTGTTTTATCAATCAGCCACGCTGGAATAGCTACTCTCCCCTAACCCTTTCTCCAACAGCCCCGGGATCCCCCATCTCCTGTTGCTTTTTCAGAGCCTTCTTTTCCCTTTGCTGCTCCTGGAATTACTCCTCTGGGTCTGAGGAGGCACTGGCTGGATGGTGCCCCTTGTATGAGCTTCAAGGCACAAACTCAGTCCTGAAGCCAAGGGTGTTGAAGGAGAACACTAGGAAATTACCCCAGCTCTCTCCCTCATACAGCAATGAAAGACAGAAAACTTGTAGGGGAAAGCCGTGGCCCCTAAGGTTTATCCTGGTAGCTAGGTAACCCTCGTTTGTTCTCAACAAATTGCAGACTAGGAATAAAACCCTATTAATGCCCTGTACACAGTTACTAAGGAAATCCTCACTGTGCACTTGCTGCTATAAGAGACCCAGAAGAGTGCTACCTGAATGTGACATAGCCACCACTTCTTACTTAATAGTGGCTGAGAATTGCTTGTGGCAGTGCTTAAAAGAAAAGACAGCACTACCGTTCCATCTCATTTCTGGTCCTCCCAAGGCTCATGGGGGAAGCACTGGTGGTGGGCAGTACCTGAGGAGGGGTAGAGGGGATAGGGAAAGGAAGGCATTTCCCTGCTCCCAGGGCAGTCTTCTGGGCTGAAGTGCCATCACTCTGTTTCACTGGAGCAAGACATCACCATTCCCACCTCGGGGATTGGCTAAAACTCAGTCCACCAGAGATGCTCAAGAGGTGATTAAATAACCAAAAGAAAGTGATAGAAGTTATAATGGCACCCCGGTTTGAGGAATCCTCTCAGATCCTTGGCTCTTTCTCGAAGTCCACATAGCAGTATGTTTGGGCTACACCTTTCCACACAGCTTGGGTTTTGTTTTTCTCTGTGCCTCTGTGTTGTCGTTCAAGCCTCTGTTACTGCTTAACTGGATAACTGAAATACCTTGAAGGCCTTGTGAGTTCTGAACACATTTATTTGGAAACCTTCATTGATGCTGTATGTTTTGGTCTAGCAATATGTTGATGTACCACCGTCTCCCACAGAGTGCAGGATTCACCTCTAGTCCTGGGCAAGGTGTCCTCTGGTTGCCTTTGAGCTTTAAATCTTCTTTTCAACCTGGAAGACTAGATCTAGGGGACTAGCTGCTCAGTGCAGGTAGACCACCTATGCTAGCAGCACCCCTCTATTTGGAGAGGTTGGTGCGGATCCCCCATCCGCAGCATCACCAGGGATGCTCCTGGTGACGGAATCGCTGGCTGGGAAGCAGTTCGGTATTTTATATACCAGGCAAACCGCAGTGAAATAACGGGAGGAGGTATCCTGCTGCTCTTGCTCGCTGTGGACACCGGAGGGAGCTGCAGCACACCGGCATGCGAAGCCCCATTTTTCCTCCTGCAGTGCAAGCACATTCTTCAAGAATGTGGCTCTGCCCCTGCAGGCCCCGATCTGGTGCGAGGGCTCTCCCTCAGCTCTCCTGTCTGTTAAGTGTACTGGATCCACAACTCTTTAACCGCTTTGCTTTTTGGGACGGAAAAGAATCGTGTTATTTTTTCCCCCATCTTTGTCCCATGACATTGACAAAGATAGTTGGACAGCCCTCCCTGCTGGGAGGTATGAATAATTAACATCCTTCCGCACCTTCCCTTCTCATCCACGTTGCTGTCTTCTGCTCTGCATGCAGCCGTCCTTCTCCAGCAGAGGGTAACTTAGGGACAGCTACTGCAGATGACGCAAGGTGAAGCACTCTTCCCTCTAAAAAGTCAGGTGTCGGTGCCACAGTATGGTGTGAAGGAGAACTGTGCCGCAGTAAATAGCCTGAGTGACTCATGAAGGGAACACTTCCATACATCTATTCCCTTAAGCTGCGCTGACCCCAGTGCCTGTAGGTGTTTACCCAAGATCAGAAGCAGCGACAGTGATTCAGCAAAAAGTTCTCTTCCTTCCAAGTCGGTACTGATCACATTACGTTACCAGGGATGCTATAGCAATGGTAGTGTGGTATTTTGGATGAGACACAAAATCAGCCTTCCTAGAAATTAAAATCTCCTGGTGCATTTCACTCCAGCGATTACTGCGTCTCAGCAGACAGGTAAGTGATCCTGGGGCATACAATTTGTAAAGGTCTTGGAGAGGCATTTAAATGCCAGCTGATTTCTTTCCCTCTCTCTCTTTGTCTCCCTGGCCTTCACAGATCCTCACAGTAACCAGGCATTAAGTTACATCTGAGTGATGAGAAATTAATGAGCTGCTGTAAGATGTTTGAATGTACCAGGTCAATAATGCAGCACTACTGGTCATGTGAATTGGGCCTGAAATTAATTTTCTTGGGACCCACACTGCTGATGGACTCCATTAATACCTGAAGTCTGACACTATTCTGCAGTTGTTCTACTGGTGTTACTGAGGTTGTCACTGGGAAGTGACATGAGACCAAGGCCTGATCCACCTGTCCCCAGTTTTGGGAAGTTCACATCTGACTTTGTATCCAATCTATTTCAGAAGTGGGAACACTGCAAAGTACAGGAGCCTGGACATGGTCCACCTCTTTTTGACTGACGGTGATGCTTTCTGTTGTCCCATCTATGAGAATAAGGAACTCTTCACCCCTTTATTTCCAAATCAACAAGTCAGTGCTTAGAGGGCAGGCAGTCTTGCAGTCACAGAATATCTTAAGGGAATTCATGATTAATACATGCTCAGCTCCTTCAAATCAGTTCAACATTGGTGAAGAACTGAGCATGAGAAGAGGCAGTTGGTGAGCTCTTTGCTGTTTGGTTGCCCATTTGGCCACATGCTTCTGGCTTCTCATGGATGAGAAGCCTATAGTGAGAAGCTGTCAGGACCTTCTTTCTTCCCTTGCTGTGCTTTGGGCTTTCCTTCTCTGCTCTTTCTGTAGTTCTTACTATCACAAACATCCTTCCTTTCTGGTCCCTTATACTGTCTCAGAGCTGACTCTTCCTGGCTGTTTCACATGTCCTTTGGCACTCCAAGCAGCTGAGATCAAATACGGTTTCTTTCAGGGCACTTTTCCCAAGACTGCTCTCTCAGGGAGATAGGTAATACTTCAGGTTTAACAAATGTATAAATTCCTCCTCTAAGCCCAGTTATGTGTGTCCATACAGACTGGAGCACATACAAACACCACCTTTAATTAAACTGGCGCAAGTTTTCCATACAGATGAGGCTGCGGTC